CCCCCCCCCCCCGGTCTCAGTAACGTTCGGCAAAATTTCGCATCTTTTTTTTTTGAACCACATCATAAAGCTGTTAACTTTAAATGACCAGTTGATAAGAAACCAAATGATTAGGCCAGAGTCCATTAATGTAATTCATTGAAGGATCTTCCATTCAATGAACGGGCCAAGTTAATTGACACCCTACTCAATATTGATTTATTTTTTAAGTGGCGTTTAAAAAAAAAATTTAAAAATTTCACCCTGACCGCAACTTTAACATGATGGCATAAGTCACACGTTTGGACGTCAACAATGTGCCTGATTTTGTTTTCAGTTCGCTTCGTTACCCAATCGGCGATTCAAACCTTTCAGAAGTCCGCCGATGGCCATCGAAGCAGCGTCCAGATAGACCAGACAGTTGTCAGCAGGTCGAATTGGTCAAGGTGTCCCTTTTTAAGTCGCAACGTCAACAATCTCGATTCCTGACCATCCAAAGGGGAGATAAGCCAGCGCTCTATTGATTCAATCGGACCTCTAACGAAATCGGACAAGCTTGAGCCGCGTCAAATATTTGCGCGCGAAAAGATGGCCTCACCGTACGGCACAAACTCATCATACAGCGAGAGAAAAGTGGAGGGGGGTGGTCACAGAGACTGCCCCTTCTCCCCCTGAATTTGCAGGTTTTATTTAATTGCTATATACTGTGGCGCCTCCAGCTAGATGCAACTAAATAATAATATGTGTCAGACGGTAAATTACACCCCGCTGTAAAATTTATGTTCAGCCATAATGACTTCCATTTAGCCCGCATATGTGCCAAGTACTCTACTTTGATTAAACTATCCATAGAACCAAGTATTTTTCTTCTTCTTCTTCTTCTTCTATATCTTAAGGGCCCACGATCAATTTATTGATCATTTTGGCTCCTATGCATAAATCTGTACATTTAAATTTCGAAGCCCCATTTTATAAAAGGTGTTATCTTGAGGTTTAGCTATTTATATTAAACACTCAAATAACATAAGGATATTATGTCATGTAACAGAAGGTTATTATATCAAGTAATATAAGGTTATTATATCAAGTAACATAAGGTTATTATATCAAGTAAAATAAGGTTATTATATTAAGTAACATAATGCTATTAAATTGTGTAACATATCAAATAGGATCAGTTGAGATGGCGGGACCACATTCTATGAAATAAATTGAATCTATTGAGATGGCGAGACCACATTCTATGAAATAAATTGAACCTATTGAGATGGCGTGATCACATTCTATGAAATAATTGAATCTATTGAGATGGCGTGACCGCATTCTATGAAATAAATTGAATCTATTGAGATGGCGTGACCACATTCTATGCAATAATTGAATCTATTGAGATTGTGTGACCACGTTCTATCAAATAAATTATTGAATCAATTGAGAGGGTGTTACGGCATTCTCTGAAATAAATTGAAACAATTGAGATTGTGTGACCACCTCCTATACAATAAAATAAATGGGTCTAAGTTATTTTATAAACAAATTTTTTCCCCTCTATATTTTTACTACAACAGTTAATTAAAGTTATACAAACATTTCAAGGATAGAGGAATGAAGCCCCTGAAAAATCAAAATACTGCCTCCAAATAAATAATTCTTTTTTCAAGTTGTAACTTTTACATTAAAAATAATAAAATATAAAAAATGCCCCACATGGAAAGCAGACACCCCCCACACCTTTTTGGCTAATCTACAAGGGGGGCGGCCTTGTGTTGGGAGACACAGATGGAGATGATTAAAAGAATTGCAGAGTTGAGACAAACGGATGCGTATCGTAAAATTGTTGTGAGGAGTCTGAGAAAGTTTTAAATTCTCAATAACAATTTAAAAAAAAAAAAAAAAAAATTAAGAACCTTGAGTATCTACACTTTGAGTTGTATAAGGTCCATAATGCTGAAATTTAAACATTTACAAATTGTTTGTAATAAAACTACAATTGAAGCAAAATGCTAGAAAAACGGATGCGTATCGTAAAATTGTTGTGAGGAGTCTGAGAAAATTTTAAATTCTCAATAACAATTTAAAAAAAAAAAAAAAAAATTAAGAACCTTGAGTATCTACACTTTGAGTTGTATAAGGTCCATAATGCTGAAATTTAAACATTTACGAACTGTTTGCAATAAAACTGCAATTGGCGCAAAATGCGCATAAATCCCCAGATTCTAAAGAGCGATGGACTAGTTCTGACTAAATTCTTGGGTTAGAAGTATTGTAGATCACGTCCACTAATAGTTAACTTATGTTAACAGACCAAATGATTCCACAAGATTTTGCCAAGTTCATGGGTTAACGTCGTTGCATTCAATGAACAGAAAAAAAATACCAAGATGGTTAGTAGACACGCTGCTCAGCTGTTTGATTTTAGACTCAAATTGGCTTTCGCCTCATAGGCTTCATCATGATACCACACGTCTGCTTAGATCCCATTGTTCCATATCGCCGATTGACATGTGGTGGTCGACGGTCATCGCAGCGTCCAGGTAGACCATGTGGTCAGCAGGTAAAAATGTGAAGGGTGTCAGAAATCTCACCGCCGCACCATCAAAGGGGGAGACCAGCATGATTTCTAGTCATACAAGGGGACCAATTAAAAAAAACTGGACAAGCTTGAGTCGTGTCAAACGGTCGCGCGCCAAAGATGACCACAACAAGAGGGCGCTAACTAATCGCACAGGAAAAAAAAAAGAGCGGGCACAGGAAGTCGTACCACGATCGCCACTATATAAATGTCTACTAGAACCTTAAAGTCAGTTCACTATTTACACTTCAGTACTTGTGGAGCCTTTCCTACAAAGTTGTGTGATGACAATTTAATTTAACACTTTTTAAAACTGTCTCGTTCAGATAATTGTGAAACAGAATTAATTGTGTTTATTATCTATTATACGTGCTGCTATTTCTTGTGACGACTTGGTGAACCCTACAAGTTCTTGGGCTTATTTAACTTTTTGTGTGCTTTGATCCCAATTGGAATATTCTCAGATGGCCACCGGAAGATTTGCGCCACAACTTGACTTTGTTCTGGAAAAAGATCTTTTCTCCGAGTTTCGATTAAAAGAGGGACCGGTCATCGGAACCGGCGGTTCCGGAGAGGTTGTCCTGGCGACCAGCGCCGACGACCCGAAGGTCCAGAGAGCGGTTAAGAAGTTCGACCTGCACGGACCCGAAGCCGTGGACGACAAAGACCTTTTGCAAGATGAGGCCACTCAGCGGAGTTTCTTGAAGGAGGTCGCCATCATGAAACGCCTGCGGCACCCCAACGTCATGTCCATTGTGTCCGCCGTGAGGACCCCACTGTACTTGGCCATAGTGATGCCTTACTGCTGCAAGGGGGCGCTGAGTTATCTCATACCTACTCTAATGTTGTCACAGCAACGCAAGTTAATGAAGCAGGTAGCTATTTCAAATTTTTTAATCTTTAAATTTTTTATTTACCAATAATTTCAATAGCCGGCGCCTGGATGAGAAGATGCACGATAAGCCCGACAACTATTTGTTTTAATGACAAATGATAAAACCCCGTGAACATAGCGAAGCTTGAAAATTCCGCATGTCGGAGCAGTTAAAAAAAAAATGATATTTTTGAGCCCCTTGTGTACATGGGATTTCGTCGTTTAACTCATTTTCATGTTCTGTCTTAAGACGATTCAGACCCCAAACCCCGGGTTGGAGAAGTATAAAAAATAATATTCCGGTGCCCCTTGACATTTAGGAATACATGGGCATCTGATGGTTTAACTCGTTTCGTAACTTTCTATATTTAAAGACGACTCCGTCTACACCTCATGATATATTTTTTTTGGCCACCCCCTGTCAATGCTACTCAGCCCCCCCCCACCCCCTTCTTCATGAAGCCCAGTTTCTCTTTCCTTTGCTGCTCAATGAAATTACAGGGATCTGCGTATATTTTATTTTAAAAAAAAATTGTTACAATGTTTCTATGTTATAATGTTACATTCAATGTTACAATATATCAGTGTTACAACATTACATTCAATGTTGCAAATATATCAAGTGTTTTAATGTTACAACGTTACAATATCACAATTTTAATTTTTTTTTAATGTTTTAATGTTACAATGTTTCAGTGCTTCATTGTTTCAATGGTTTAATGTTACAATGTTTCAGTGCTTCATTGTTTTAATGGTTTAATGTTACAATGGTTTTATTTATTTCTTTTTCTACAATTTTACAATGTTAAATTTTTTTCATCACTCACTTGCAGATAACACGAGCAGTGGAATACCTGCACAGACACAACATCGTCCACGGCGACATCAAGCCGCACAACGTCATCATTGACGACAACGGCAACGCCCTTCTCTCGGACTTTGGACTGTCCAGGGCCGTCCCCAACCAGAGGGTGGAGATCTTTGTGGACTTCGGCACCCAGGCTTACAGGGCGCCAGAGACTTTGGGCGAAGACCGAGTCAATCCGTTTAAGGTGAGGACAAATGTCACTTTAAATAAGATTTTTTATTTGAGATAGTACGTGACGTAGTGGGGGAACGGAGTGGCGTGGGTGTTTGGGGGGGGGGTAGGAGGAGGGGTGTATAGTAAGCCACTGCATCAGCGGCAGAAACTGAAGTGGGCAATACAAGCATATTCTTCTTATTATTATATTAAGTTATCTATTTAATTTTATTTCCTTCTTTAAATAAGATTTTTTATTTGAGATAGTACGTGACGTAGTGGGGGAACGGAGTGGCGTGGGTGTTTGGGGGGGGGGGAGTAGGAGGAGGGGTGTATAGTAAGCCACTGCATCAGCGGCAGAAACTGAAGTGGGCAATACAAGCATATTCTTCTTATTATTATATTAAGTTATCTATTTAACTTTATTTCCTATTCTGATGAAAACAGATTATATCACATAGAGAAGAGATTGTACCAATCCCATGATACATGCTGGATCATCTATTTAGCCTTTTCCCAACCATGATAATAGCAGGTTTTTGAACCTGCTACATATCAGGATAATACCAGATGGTCTTTTTAAATAAATCTTATTTTATGATGATAAAAGAGTATCTATTTAAAGGAATCCATCTCATGATTATATAAGATTATCGATTCAAATTAATCCATCTTATTTGTGATACCAAATGATACATGTAAATGAATCTATTTCACAGATAATAACACACAACTATTTAAATTAACTTTTATCACTATCATGATACTAATATAAAACAATTCTAACAATTCCCTATCAATTTAATATTATATTATCTACATTGCTCTCTTGCGTGCTATCTAATTCTAGGACCAGTTTTTGTTACATTATTTTCAATAGCATTTGATTCCTTCGCATTAATATATTAAAAGCATTCAACACATGTGGTTCGATTCTCTGTTGTTAGAATTCCATATGTGTCTTTAAATGAAAAAAAATAAAAATAAATCTAAGTTTACTGTAGCGTCACAGGGGTTCTAACATTGTATTCTCTGTGTCGTCCATTCACGCAGGCTGACATGTATTCCCTGGGAGTCACGATGTGGGCGATTGTGATGAGGAAAAGACCACTGTATTGGCTCAGCTATCTGGAGGAGTTAAAGGCCAATCTATATGTACCTGGAAAATACAGGTGAGTCAGGTTTACTCCTGTAAAATATATTATTTTATTGCTCGGATAATTGGTAAACACAGCATTCACTGTTTTTAAGGGGGGGAAAAATGTAGTTTTTTTACATAGTTAAACACAACAATATCTAGTTGTTTTTTTCGTTTGCAGTCATAGCAAATTTATACTAATCAAAACGATGGCAATACTAGTATTTGATCAAAGACATCAAATACATCTTTATAACAATGCAGCAACAGAATGGCGGTTATCCGTGTGCTTATAATAAATTTCAAAAAGAAAATATTTAACACATTTGGAAATGTGACGGAACAATATATCAAGTACCATGTACTGCGTGCATCGCGTAAAGAATGTTCCCCTTGTGCTATGTCGCGTAGCAACACATTGACAGTGTTTATAATTAGTGTTCGTTGATGATGATCATATTTGTCTCCCCTCAACTTATTGGCCTTTACTTGTTGCTGTATTCCGTCGCACTTATTTAAACGGCAGTAGTAATCTTAATTCAACAAACACACAACGTCACATGTGGAGGATTAATTTGAGCATCCAAGAGTTAAGATCCGGGGGCTGGGGGGTAGGGGAGGGGGGTGTTGCGTTGAAAGAAGATGGTGCAATTTGTGGGGAAGGGATGGTTGGGGTGTCGTAATTCGGTTTTGTGTCATCCTGTTGTTAAATAGAAATGTTATTCTTTTATTTGCTTCATAGGAGAATGTTGTCCTCTTTGCTGGATGTCGACCCTTCCAAGAGACTGACTGCCTCAGAGGTTCTTGAGGATCTTTAACCATCTTCTGTGTAATTTTAAAGACGCACCACAACAACAGTGTGGATAACATGCACTAAGGGTAAACGGACAGCCAACGTACAGGGTCAAAGACACATGGGACCGAGGGGGATGATGATACAGCATACCTGGAGTGTACATGCGGAACTCCAACACACACGTTGTTTGACACAGCGCAGTATGGGTGTAGACCCAACGCGTGCTCCAAGAGTGTAGACTACAGCTCAACCCAAGTGTAGACACAGCTCATCCCGAGTGTAGACACATTTCACCCCAAGTGTAGACACAGCTCACCCCGAGTCTAGACACAGCTCACCGCGAGTCTAGACACAGCTCACCGCGAGTGTAGACATATCTCACCCCAAATGTAGACACAGCTCACCCCGAGTGTAGACACAGCTCACCCCGAGTGTAGACACAGCTCACCCCGAGTCTAGACACAGCTCACCCTGAGTGTTGACTCATCTCATCCCAAGTGTAGACACAGATCACCCCGAGTGTAGACACAGCTCACCCCAAATGTAGACACATTTCACCCCAAGTGTAGACACAGCTCACCCAGAGTCTAGACACAGCTCACCCAGAGTCTAGACACAGCTCACCCTGAGTGTTGACTCATCTCACCCCAAGTGTAGACACAGATCACCCAGAGTGTAGACACAGCTCACCCAGAGTCTAGACACAGCTCACCCAGAGTCTAGACACAGCTCACCCAGAGTCTAGACACAGCTCACCCTGAGTGTTGACTCATCTCACCCCAAGTGTAGACACAGATCACCCCGAGTGTAGACACAGCTCACCCAGAGTCTAGACACAGCTCACCCAGAGTCTAGACACAGCTCACCCTGAGTGTTGACACAGATCACCCCGAGTGTAGACACAGATCACCCCGGGTGTAGACAGAGCTCACCCGAGTGTAGACACAGATCACCTCGAGTGTATGACCCAGCTCTACCCCCAGTGTAGACACAGCTCACCCCCAAATGTAGGCACGCAAAGCCTGTCAGTTTGATTTGTACAATAGTCCAGTAGAACATCGGTCGTCTGTATACAGGAAGAATGTCCTACCGATTTCAACCACAGAAGACATTTCAGTATTGTCTTGATCCTACAAGAAATTCTTCACTTCTGAATTCTCTTCGGACTTGAGACTTCGAAGCGTGGGACAACGGCGTACCGTGAACAATTAGACAAGTCTTAAAATGTTTACCTTTAAATGTACATCTTAGTATGACCCTTTCATTCATTAACTTTTGTTTGTCCCCTTAAATACGTGTCAGTAAATGAATTTCATTTATAAAATCTATTTCTACATGTCATTTATAACATTTTTCTATATATACATTTCATTTATAAAATTTTTCGATGTCTAAATTTCATTTATAATATCTGTATCTAAATTTCATTAAGAATATATATCTAAATTTGATTTATAAAATCTATAACTAAACGAAATGAAAGGTATCGTTAAAATTTGAAAATACATTTAAAAGACTTATAGTTAAATTAGAAACACTAATTGGATGGTACTGTTTAAGACAATATTGTTGGTTAAGACAGCATTGCTGGTTAAGACAGCATTGCTGGTTATGATAGTATTGTTATTTAAGATATAATTAATTGTTTATTTGGATATCATTTTTGCTATGATAGTATTGTTTTTTTAAATGTAATAGTTTGTGTTAAGATAGTATTGTTTATTTAGAAAGAATTGTTTTTTAAGATGGTATTGTTACTTAAGAAGTTACCTACTAATAAATATAATTAATATAACATGTCTTTTTTTTTATACGTGTAGTTGATTTACGTTAAAAAGATGTGTACATTTTGTTAGACTTTTCCGTAGATATTTAAAGTTTATCATAATGAACGGGAGTCACAAAGCAAATATTTCTATAAAAATAATACATTGATAATATTGGACATAGATTACAAGTAAATCCCTTGCAAAAAAATTCTCCAGTCCAGTGGTTCTAAACCAGAGCTGAATGAACACCAAGCATTTTTTTTGGAACAACACTCTAAATCAAAAAAAAAAAAAAAAAAAAAAAAAAAACCTTTTGAAAAAACAACCAAAAAAAAAAAAAAAAAAAAAAAAAAAAAAAAATTCCCACCAAAACACGCTTTCATCAGTAACATTAAGATTTATAAAATGAATCCTTTGTATAATAATTTACTATAACCTTCCTGTCATCTAAAGTGTAAGAATCGTTTAAAAAAATAAATACATTTCAAATTAATGAGAGGCGACAGCAGATTATGAATAAATGGAATTGATCTGTGCAAGTGATACACACATGATTTCAGAGATGAGAGAAGTCAAAGTTTTGGTTAACCTGATCGCCAGCGTATTGAACAGTCTCGTTCAAGATAAGATATTCGTACATGGTAAAAAAAAAAAAAATTCAATAGGACACTTGATGTGGAAGAAACATTCAACAAGAAAATGATGTCTATTCGGATCTTTAATCTTAGTACTTCAGCTTTTTTTCAGCTGTTTAAAATTCTCTTCATTGGTTTGGGGCGAGAGTGGGGAGGGGGTGGGCGAACAAGTGTTTTTTGAGGGGGGGGGGGGCTGTCATCTAGTAAATGTTTTGAAATCGAGATATGATTCGGGCGATGCTTTGAATTGAGAGCAGTGTTTCATTCAGTGAGAGCAGTGTTTCATTAATTAAGAGCAGTGTTTCATCCAGTGAGAGCAGTGTTTCTTTCATTGAGAGCAGTGTTTCTTTCATTGAGAGCAGTGTTTCTTTCATTGAGAGCAGTGTTTCTTTCATTGAGAGCAGTGTTTCTTTCATTGAGAGCAGTGTTTCATTCAGTGAAAGCAGTGTTACATTCATTGAGAGCAGTGTTTCATTCAGTGAGAGCAGTATTTCATTCAGTGAGAGCAGTGTTTCATTCAGTGAGAGCAGTGTTTCATTCAGTGAGAGCAGTGTTTCATTCAGTGAGAGCAGTGTTTCATTCAGTGAGAGCAGTATTTCATCCCGCCCCACTCCCCCAGAAAAAAATGTTAACAACAGCGTTCAACTATGGACCTATTTAAAATAAACCGTTTTAATTAGCCCTTTTAGTTGGATCTTTTTTGACGAAATCTAAAAGCAGCATTTCATCTATTAAAATTTGGTAATATTTTTTTTTTCAAAACTGTTTTAAAATGGTTCTCAATGGTAGGCCCTGACCGTCATAGCTAACACAATGGCCCCCCTTGTCACATTGCACGATTTCATGTTCAATTATGCACAGCGTTTCCAAAAATAGGGACAGCTATGTGTAAATATATATTAGTTTGTTAAATACCAAAAAACCTCATGTCAATTCTAACACAATGTTAAAACACATTTACAATCTCCACTGACCAATCATCAAAAGGATTCAGTTATTTTATTTATTTATTTTTTTTTGAAGGAAACACTGCATATCTATTCACAGCTCCATGCATTAAGTTATACTTACCGGGAAATAAATACTTCATAAACGGATAGAGTATTACCAGGTTCTTTTTAACTATATATGGCTGTATATCTATCTAGTAATGTATCTATTTGTTGACACAGAACGATACGTGCTCTTTACGGGTGACCATGTGAGCGATTGTAATGAGGAGAGGGCCGCAGTACAGGATCCACTACTCGGAGGAGCTAGAGGACAATTTTTCATGTGTCTGGAAAGTACAAGTAAGTCCGTTTTACTAGGATACAAAAACAAAACAAAACATTATTTATTATCTTTAGAAAATTAGTATTCTTATTACTAAATTTTTTTTTTATTAATAAGAAAATTTATATTCTGATTATTGGGCCAAATTGGTGTTTTTATTACTTGGCAATGGTGTTTTAATTACTGGGCTAAATTGGCATTTTTATCACTGGGCTAAATTTGTGTTTTTAATTACTGGGCTCAATTGGTGTTTTTATTACTTGGGTAAATTGGTGTTTTTATTACGTTGCTAATTTGGTGTTTTTATTGCAGTGCAAAATATGTGTTATTATTACTGGACTAAATTGTTGTATTTATTACTGGGCCAAATTGGTGTTTTTTTACTGGACCAAATTGGTGTTTTTATTACTGGGCCTATTTGGTGTTTTTATTACTGGGCCTATTTGGTGTTTTTATTACTGGGCTAAAATTGTGTTTTTATTACTTGACTAAATTGGTGTTTTATTATGTTGCTAACTTGATGTTTTTATTACTGGGCATTGTAGATTTTATTACTGGGCTAAATTGGTGTTCATTTTAAATTGGCTAAATTGGTGTTTTATTATGTTGCTAATTTTTATTGCTGGGCTAAATTGGTGTTTTTATTACTTGGCTAAATTGGTGTTTTATATGGCTGCTAATTTGGTGTTTTTATTACTTGGCAAAATTGGTGTTATAATTACTGGGCTAAATTCGTGTTTTTATTACGTTGCTCATTTGGTGTTTTTATTACTGGGTTAAATTGGTGTTTTTATTTCGTTGCTAATTTGGTGTTTTTATTACGTTGCTAATTTGGTGTTTTTATTACTGTGATTGTGATCAAAAATACTTTTATTTTTAAAATTAATTTTTTTTTTTTTTTAAATTTAAAATAAGAACAAGAAATGAAAATAAAAATCTCAAGTATCTGAAGTGATTTGAAGTGATTGTACCAGGACGCAAGACGCTCTAACGCCCATCTGAGATTTCCCACGAGTAAGCTCTAGAGATCATATGATACGTAAACATGTGTCATTTCAGCGATAGTTATACTTCCTTTTTAAAATGATTTTTTTTTTAGCAAACAATAGCAGCGACAACAACGGTGTCGTTGTTTTAAACTTATACAGCTGCAGTTTTAACCTGATACAGATACAATTTAAGCACACAAACTCATTGGCATAGCCCGGACAAAACCACGATCGTTGCAAGAGTTTGCACACACACAAAAAAACCGAGACCGATTTTTAGGACTACGCTCGCACATTCTAACCCACAGGTCGTAGTATTCTATTTCCTTCAGTACTTTATTATTTCAGTTGAGGTGTGAGGGAGGGTCCCCTCAGTTGAGGTGTGAGGGAGGGTCACCTCAGTTGAGGTGTGATGGAGGGTCCCCTAGGTTGAGGTGTGATGGAGGGTCCCCTCAACTGAGGTGTGAGGGAGGGTCCCCTCGGTTGAGGTGTGATGGAGGGTCCCCTAGGTTGAGGTGTGATGGAGGGTCCTCTCAACTGAGGTGTGATGGAGGGTCCCCTCAGTTGAGGTGTGATGGAGGGTCCCCTAGGTTGAGGTGTGATGGAGGGTCCCCTCAGTTGAGGTGTGAGGGAGGGTCCCCTCAATTGAGGTGTGAGGGGGGGTCCCCTCAGTTGAGGTGTGAGGGAGGGTCCCCTCAGTTGAGGTCTGATGGAGGGTCCCCTCAGTTGAGGTGTGAGGGAGGGTCCCCTCAGTTGAGGTGTGAGGGAGGGTCCCCTCAGTTGAGGTGTGATGGAGGGTCCCCGTGTTGAGGTGTGATGGAGGGTCCCCTCAGTTGAGTTGTGACGGAGGGTCCCCTCAGTTGAGGTGTGATGGAGGGACCGTTCAGTTGAGGTGTGATGGAGGGTCCCCTCAGTTGAGATGTGACGGAGGATCCCCTCAGTTGAGGTCTGACGGAAGGTCCCCTCAGTTGAGGTGTGATGGAGGGTCCCCTCAGTTGAGGTGTGAGGGAGGGTCCCCTCAGTTGAGGTGTGAGGGAGGGTCCCCTCAGTTGAGGTGTGAGGGAGGGTCCCCTCAGTTGAGGTGTGAGGGAGGGTCCCCTCAGTTGAGGTGTGATGGAGGGTCCCCCAAATTCAGACCTGTTTGCCACCCGAAGTAGTGTCAGAAGTTTTAAGCTTCAACGAATAGTTTGGTCAATGGGGTGTTGTTGGAGAGAGGGGGGGGGGAGAGGGTTGATTTCAGTACAAGAAGACACATGTCGGTGATCATGAGGACCAGACGAGAAGACACATGTCGGTGATCATGAGGACCAGACAAGAAGACACATGTCGGTGATCATGAGGACCAGACAAGAAGACACATGTCGGTGATCATGAGGACCAGACAAAAAGACACATGTCGGTGATCATGAGGACCAGACAAGAAGACACATGTCGGTGATCATGAGGACCAGACAAGAAGACACATGTCGGTGTTCATGAGGACCAGACAAGAAGACACATGTCGGTGACCATGAGGACCAGACAAGAAGACACATGTCGGTTATCATGAGGACCAGACAAGAAGACACATGTCGGTGATCATGAGGACCAGACCAGAAGACACGTGTCGGTGATCATGAGGACCAGACAAGAAGACACGTGTCGGTGATCATGAGGACCAGACAAGAAGACACGTGTCGGTGATCATGAGGACCAGACAAGAAGACACGTGTCGGTGATCATGAGGACCAGACAAGAAGACACATGTCGGTGATCATGAGGACCAGACAAGAAGACACATGTCGGTGATCATGAGGACCAGACCTGAAGACACATGTAGGTGATCATGAGGAACAGATAAGAAGACACATGTCGGTGATCATGAGGACCAGGACTACCTCCCAAAAACATCAATTGTATTTTTTGTTTTAATGACCACCGCATTTAAAAAAAAGAGGAAGAAAATAATTACCGGTAATTAAAAAAAAAAACAAGAAATGTCCTAAACCGTATTTTTTTTCTTTTATCCTGGTGGTAGTACCGTTGTCATAGGCTTGAAAAAAAACCCGTAGTTACCAAAGCAAGGTGAAAGCGTAGAGGTTAATGGGTCTGCATATTACGACGCTCTGTACACTAGCACTTGGGGTCGAACGGGGCGACTCGTCTCAAATAGCGCGTCAGCTGGAGAGCTTACCTAACCATCACGATCAAACGAAATGATGGGGAACGAGTCTTCAAAGTGAAAGTGTAATGATGTGTACCTGGTGTTTTTGTCTTTGTAGGAACAGATTCTCTGTTGCACGAACTGAAATAAAATCTATGCTTTCAAATCTTCGGTGGTTTTCTCTGAATTCAGATAACGATTTAATGGCATTCACAACAGGAGCAACTAGGTATGGAATATATGAATTTTCTTTTTTTTTTCCTTCTAATTCATGCAAACATATAATTTTGTCATAACTTTTCTAAGTTCGAATTTTTTTATATTCAATTGTATATATTGTCTAATTATTCTTCTATAACCTTCCTAATGTCGGGATCCTGGAATACAGTTCATCATGGTGTGGTGACTCACAAGCATAAAATTATTTTCGTTGCTACTTCATAAATATGTGTTTTCTGATGGTCTTATGCGACCTCTTTGTAAGGATCGTTCGAACCCCATAGGGGTCGCGACCTACACGTTGATGCCCGCTGTTTTAGAATGTAGTTCTAATTGAAATTTAGAAAAAAAATCGCCAAAAAAAACAACATTTTTTTTCTATGCTTATTTAATTTAGGTTTCTGTTACGCATTCAAGGGTGCCAGGCTAGGCCACATGAATTTGATATATAACATATCCCCACACCCTAAAAAAAAAATAAAACAAACTTTTAGTAATTAATTTTAAATGTACGTTAATTTTTTTCCAGGCTCAGATATTTTAATGATTGTTGGTGGATCTCAAGGCCATATCAAACTCTGAAGATCAGATCTTCTATAACATGACGCCTCTGCTCGTCATTTGCCTTCTGGCCTCCATGTCAGAGACGTCGCCAGGGTCGTTGCCTGGGAGGGATGATCCTAACAGATACGCCTTCTGTGAGCGCTACTGCTCGTGCGGTGAGGCACGCGTGCGGCTCACGGACAAGCCCAAAAAAGAAGGACATGACGTCACAGAGGAAAATATCGCAGACGACCGCGATGGCGTGTGCGCTGACCCCCTCAACAAGGAACTAGATGAGGGGGCGGATGACGTCATCCCATCTCAAAGTTTGTCCATCGTCTCCTCTTCTGACGCGGCCACCTCCGACATGGCCGCCCCCGGCGTGATTTACTCTGACGTGGCCACATCTAACCGATGTTGGTGCAACACAACCTTCTGCGACTGTTCAAGCCGTCAGCTGGTCACAGTACCCAATGACCTTTCAACTCTAATCACGGTACTGACGCTCCGAAATAACTCATTGACCAATCTTCCGAACTGCAGTTTCTGTCGATACTCGCTGCTCAAGTATTTAGATTTATCCAGCAATAAGCTGAAGCGGCTTGAAGTGAGATCGTTTGAGAATCTTTCCAAACTTGAGACCCTGACACTTAAGAACAACAGCCTGATCATGAAGAAAGGAACTTTTCCCAGGGGCGTGTTCAAAAATTTGACGTCTCTGAAAACTCTGCGGATAAACAGAAACACGGCAGTGACTTTCGATGACCGAGGATACGAATATCCCGACGACGTCCTGTCCGAGCTCACAAGCCTGCGTGAGCTATCCATGGATGGCCTGCCGCATCCAAAATTCGGCCCCGGATTCAAGAGTATGTCAGCGTTGCGAAACCTAAGTCTGAACGGCTACCACTACGGGCAAGGGTATTGCACGGTGTTAGGCTTGACCAACGAAACCTTTGAGAATTTGAGCCAGCTGACCGTCCTGGACCTGAGCACGTGCAAGATCAACGGCGATCACGTGGAGACTGGCGCGTTCTTACCCATGAAGAACCTTACCAACCTCGACGTTAGCTACAACTTTAACTTCCGGTTCGACAATTTCGAACGCGTGATATCAGTGCTGCGCGATTCGAAAATTGTCCGACTGAAACTGAACACCATCGTATCCTTTTACTCTCAGGCGATCACGGTCAACCGATCGATCATAGAGAGTCTGCCGAAATCCCTCGAGTACCTCGAGGCTAAAGGGAACAGTTTCGAAATGATCGACGACGGGCTCCTCCAGCTGGCCCCGGAGAACCTGAGCCACGTCGATCTAGGAAACAACCGTCTCATTTACGGCCTCTATTTGCAGGATTTAAAGCACCTGAAGAACATGAAGAGGTTGAATCTTCGAGGAGGACAAAATCTGCAGAAACTGCCGACCTACGAAATCACATCGGCTCAAAAATTTCAACATCGTTTCAGTCGGTCGCTTCCTTTAACACATATTAATTCCGGGAATGCACCGTTGGTTATAAAACTCCCGGCAAAGTTGAAGATTTTGGATATGAGCGTCGCAGGTTTGAGGTACATCCTTTCAACTTTTGACGTTGACTCAAATAACGCGCTGACGTCTTTAACCCTGAACCATAACTTCTTTCCGTGCTTGCTGGGGCCGGTTTCTGGACTTGAGAAACTAGAAAATCTGGATTTGAGCTTCACCTCGGCATCAACGATTAACCCAAAATTTTTCAAAAACTTCAAAGGTCTCAAACATCTCATGCTGAGCAACAATGCTCTGGGATCGTTCTTTTCAAGTTTGAATCCGACGTCACGGATATTTCGTGACCTGAACAGCCTCGTGGCCCTTGACCTCTCAAACAATGGCATCGAGTCGTTGCCGGGGTACCTCCTGACCGGTCTGGATAACCTTGAGTCCTTGAACTTGGGCAACAATCCGATGTTGTACTTCAACCTCAGCATCAGTAACATGACGAGCATGGTCTTGCTGAACCTCAGCCACGCCCAGCTGAGCCAGCTGCCGGACCACGTCGTCCTGCACATCAAGGCTTTGGTCGACAGGAATGTTACCATTAAAGTTGACCTGTCCGGCAACCCCATTAAATGCGACTGCCTCAATTTGAACTTCATCCAATGGATTGTCAGCTCACCGGCTTTCGACCCAACGTTCACCGGATACATGTGTCAGTATCCTGATTCCTCATACAAGACCATCACCGACTCCTATGAGGAAACGCTCCGCATTTTGCAGAAGAGTTGCGCGATAAATTTCCCCATCTTTGTCGCCGCAATATCTGGGACTTTCTCCATGCTTTGCACCGTACTCGGGGCAATTATTTACAGGTAGGATTGAGGGAAAAAAATATTTATAAACTTTAAGACATTTTATAATGAGTTTTTTGGTCACTATTTTTAGTTCCTGTTGTATTTAAAGAATAAATTGAACTTATGTTTTTTTTAAAAAGTTTTTAGAAACTATACGAAGAAAAGATTCAATCTGTTTCCTTAACTTTTTGAATTACTTGATACTTAAGTTGTTTATTGTGAATCATAAAAAGCAGGGGCACCGAGTGAAATATCGAATAGTGGGACATCAAATAGTGAGAAATCGAACAGTGGGACATCGAAAAGTGGGGCATTGAATAGTGTAACATTGAATAGTGGGGCATCGATGAAATAATGGCTCATTGAATAGTAGGACATCGAATAGTGGAACATTGAATAGTGGGGCATTGTTTAGTGATCATTGACTAATGGGAGATCGATAGTGTAACATCGAACAGTCGGACATCGAATAGTTCTACATTGAATGATGGGACGTCAACTAGTGGGGCATCGAATAGTGATACATTGAATAATGGGACATCGATTAGTGATACATTAAATAGTGGGACATCAAATAGTGGGACATCGAATAGTGATACATTGAATAGTGGGACATCGATTAGTGATACATTGAATAGTGGGACATCGATTAGTGATACATTAAATAGTGGGACATCAAATAGTTGGACATCGAATAGTGATACATTGAATAGTGGGACATCGATTAGTGATACATTAAATAGTGGGACATCAAATAGTAGGACATCGAATAGTGATACATTGAATAGTGGTACAGCAAATAGTGGGTCATCCAATAGTGATACATTGAATAGTGGGACATCAAATAGTGGGACATCGAATAGTGATACATTGAACAGTGAGACATTGAAAAGTGGAACATCGTATAGTGAGGCATGCATGAGGCATGCGCTATCCATTCCTGGGGCACTACAGCCAATTAAATGATATTTGCTCCATCATTCCATGTGGTACTACATTCCTTTTAATGAGATTTGCTCCATCCATTCCTTTTGCATTGGAGCCCATCAAATGACATTTCCTCCATCCATGTGACACTACAGCACATTAAATAAGATTTGCTCCATCCATGTGACACTACAGCCCATTAAATAAGATTTGCTCCATCCATGTGACACTACAGCCCATTAAATAAGATTTGCTCCATCCATGTGGCACTACAGCCCATTAAATAAGATTTGCTCCATCCATGTGACACTACAGCCCATTAAATAAGATTGGCTCCATCCATGTGGCACTACAGCCCATTAAATAAGATTTGCTCCATCCATGTGACACTACAGCCCATTAAATAAGATTTACTCCATCCATGTGGCACTACAGCCCATTAAATAAGATTTGCTCCATCCATGTGGCACTACAGCCCATTAAATAAGATTTGCCCCATCCATGTGACACTACAGCCCATTAAATAAGATTTGCTCAATCCATGTGACACTACAGCCCATTAAATAAGATTTGCTCCATCCACGTGGCACTACAGAACATTAAATAAGATTTGCTCAATCCGTGTGGCACTACAGCCCATTAAATAAGATTAGCTCCATCAATGTGACACTACAGCCCATTAAATAAGATTTGCTCCATTCATGTGGCATTACAGAACATTAAATAAGATTTGTTCCATCCATGTGACACTACAGCCCATTAAATAAGATTTGCTCCATCCATGTGGCACTACAGAACATTAAATAAGAGTTGCTTCATCCATCTCTGTGGTACTACAGTGCATTAAATGGCATTTTCTCCATCCATGTGTCTTTTACGGCCCATTAAATGACATTTGCTTCATCCCTGTAACACTATGGCCCATTAAATGACATTTGCTCCATCCCCATTAAATGACATTTGCTTCATCCCTGTGGCACTAGGCCAATTAAATGACATTTGCTTCATCCTTGTGGCACTTCGGCCCATTAAATGACATTTGCTTCATCCCAATTAAATGACATTTGCTTCATCCTTGTGGCACTACAGCCCATTAAATGACATTTGCTTCATCCTTGTGGCACTTCGGCCCATTAAATGACATTGCGTCATCCTTGTGGCACTACGGCCCATTAAATGAAATTCGCTTCATCCTTGTGGCACTACGGCCCATTAAATGACATTTGCTTCATCCTTGTGGCACTACGGCCCATTAAATGACCTTTGCTTCATCCTTGTGGCAATTCGGCCCATTAAATGATATTTGCTTCATCCTTGTGGCACTACGGCCCATTAAATGACATTTGCTTCATTCTTGTGGCACTACGGCCCATTAAATGACATTTGCTTCATCCTTGTGGCACTACGGCCCATTAAACGAGAATCGCCAGGTGACTTTATCGAACAGCCCGTAAAGGCGTTGCTGGAAGGTTTAGCTGGAACGTTTCTTTCTGTTGATGACTTTCAAAAGTCATGACGTTTAGTGATATGAAGCGAAGCAGCCTCAAACACCTGAACTATATTGCGCGCACGGGATTTTTACGATTTGCAAACTTTTGTATTTTGTACGTCATACTATGTTAGGATGAGTGTAAAATTTGCGCACACAAAATTGTCAATGGTTTTCTGTTACATCTTACTAAAATCCTCTTTTTTTTAAATTTAAAAAAAAAATGCACTGATGGGATGTTGGACCGGGGGAAAAAAAAGGGGGGGGGGATGTGAGCTTCAATTTTGTTTGTCCTAAACTCCACTTCAATGTAAACGTCATTTTCATATCCATGGCACTGACACATTATCAACACTTTTTTTTTTCTTCAGATTCCGATGGAAGATCAGATATCTGTACTACGCGGCGTATCTGAAACTGAGAGTTCAGAACATCCACGATGACAACTTCCGGCATGACGTATTCATATCCTACTCTTCCGAGAACGAAAGGTTAATTACGTCACAAGTACTGCCAGGTGAATTTCCTTGCTTAGTTTGTGTGTGGAGTTTAAATTGTTTACACCATAAAAACACACTGAATGAAGATCGCGTTTAACCATTGTGACTGCTCTAGTGGGAAGCTTTCTTCTGTCTGCAAAATAGATTCACTATGGAAACCAAACAAATATGTTTTTGGGAACTTGAGACATTTTTTTTACATGTTTAAAGCCACCACTGCTCGAATCTAGACAAAGGCAACTAAGGCTGGATACTGGAATCCAAAAATTAACCGAGATATTTTAAAATAAAAAAATTACATTTAAAAAACAAAAAATGACCGATATTCTTAATAAGGCATGTCTCTTGTTTTTTTTTTTTTTTTTTTTTTTTGTTTTTTTTAGAGTTGACATCCCGTGGTCTTAAGCTCCTCGTTCACGGCAGAGACTTTGCTGTCGGAGATTACATCGCCTCCAACATCGTCACGGCCATCAAGGAGAGCAGGAGGACTCTAGTGGTTCTCACACGAGAACTTCTGGCCAGCAAATGGTGTAACTATGAGCTCCAGGTAAATATTGATAATAAACCATTATTTCACCAACATTTCTCTTGTAAAGAAATCGATCGCAAGGTTAAAAATAGTTAGTTTAATGTTGTTGTTTTTCTTTAAAATTTTTTAGGTTTCTTAAAATTAGATTTAAACGTTTAATGCTAATATGTCCAATATTAACGTCTAATATAAAAGTCCAATATTAAAGTTAAATATCAACGTCTAATGTTAACGCACAATGTTAATAAATGTCCAATGTTAATAATGTCCAATGTTAATAAATGTCCAATGTTAACGTCCAGTTGATACAATATTCGTTTTAATAAAATGAATTCCTATCTATTTCAAAAGAATATCAAACTGTCTGGGTTTCTTCAAGCAGCTTTAATTTAAGATGTTAAATATAGTGGAGCTTAGGCCAGTAAGAATTTCTTTCCAGGCCTCTTAGGTCTCTAGCTATCCTCTCAAGCTCTTTCCCAATTCCTCGCCTGTCTTTGTCACCTCTCTCCGCCGGGTGATAGCTGGTCTTCCTCGTGCTCTTAATCATGGAGTGTTCTGTACCTATGCTTGTTTTGCAAACAATTTGGCATGGGATTCTCTCATTGTATGACTTTCCATCTCATGTCAAGACTTATCCATTTCCACCTTCTTTTCCGGATTTCTCGCCCCACATTTTGATTTTGCATTCATTTCCCTCACTGCTATGTTTGGGAATTTGTAAAAACACTTGATGTTGACATTAGTGATGGAGGTCTTGACTCGCTTTTAGTTATTGATGTGGGAAAAACAAGGTTTAAAAAGAAACGTATTTAAAAATTTAAAAAATTGTCAATTTGAGGGTGACCAAGGGGCGTGTCATGTGGGCTATGTGGGAACAAATATGGAGACATTTTACTGTTTTGTCTGCACAGATGGCGAACATGGAGTCCGTGTACACGGGGCGCACGGTCCTGGTGTTTCTGCTCATGGAGTCCATCCCGAACAGCGAGCTGGGCACGGATTTGCTTTACCACGTACGGAACAACACCTACTCGCTGTTCCCGGCGCAGCGGGACGGAGACACTTGGAAGACGGCGCCGGAAATATTCTGGGATAAACTGGCGAGTGATCTCAAACACTGAGAGGGGATCTCAAAAAATTAACACAATGAAATAGCCATAGCAATATAAAATTAAAAACGCGATATTGTTGAAAGAGACTTGTTTATCACATAGCCATTACAAAAAAAAAAAAGAAAACGAGCCCATTTGAGTATTTAAGAGGACTATCAATAAAAGAGCACTTTTAATTTCAAATAAAGCCCTACTGTTTAGATAACTTTAGAGGTCCGTGCAGAGGAAAACCTGCACCCTAGCCGAAGTCTGAACATGGTGCTAGCCTTGCTCGTCAATATATGATATATGATACAGGAATTGAATAACAGTATTACGATTTTGGAGGGGAAACGAAGCGTCTCAAATTTCATTTCCAATCTTCATTTGATAATGCAACGGGCCATTTACTAGTAAAGCCATAAAGGCAAAGAGGCCTTTAAAATAATTTAACAATTTTTTATTTAAAAGATTTTTTTGCAAGGG